AACTAGAGTTTATAGACAAATTCTTTACCAACCATAACCCTACAGCTAATGGTACTACTACGACTCTAATCCAAGGCTTCATCACAGACACGTTCAAACAGAATCTAAAAGCAATCACATTTACCGAAAACAAAATGAAACCTAATGCAGTCAAACTGCTTCATAAAATCTGCAAAACAATACACAATCAAATATGGAAAAATCGCTGTAAGATAACGACTCAAAATACAAATAATGATCAAACACAACAAACAAACAGCAACTCTACAAAAAATACTAACCAACAAAATACACAGACAAATACAAACAACAATATACAACAGACAGCCCAGACTAAATGGGAAAAATGGACCAAACAATACTACATGTACAATACATCCCTAATACAATATGCCAAATGCAATCTAAGTGAGAACTTGGTGTCTTCTCTTAGTAGAGCCTAGGCCAAAGATAAACTAGCCTTAGTTAAAAGTTTTTAGATAGCTTAATTTCAAAATATATAAAAATATCTTGATATTAAATTGTAATAATACAAAATATTATTAATAAAAAACTGAGATTAGGTCTCACTCTTTAAAAAAAATAAAAAAAAAATAAAAAAAAAAACTAATAAAGAATTGAAAGATCTAATCCAAAAAATCTATAGACATGAAGCTTTTTATAATATAGTTCTCTAGCCCTATTCCTACTATATAGAGCCAACTCTCAAAGCTCTAATTCCCCGATCATTAATTCAAACTATTCAAAATTATAATATTTCTTACAAAATAGTAGCCAATATTATAATCAACCTATTACTCAAAATCAATAAACAATTATATGAACAAGCACGAAAACCCTATTGTACAAATTTTACTAACTGAAAAAAACAAGAGCACTTAAACTATCCATATGGTAACAATCCCAATCCTACCCAGCAACCTGACAATTCAAGCCTACTTGATGATTCTAACTCTAATCAACAAACCAAAATTATCAATCATATATGCAAAATATATACATATTCTTGTTTATGTAAAGAACCAGACCAATTATATTCATATACTGGAACCTGCTTATCGATGAGCCAGACCAGAAAGAAAATTAATACTTGGTTCTATCTTTGAACCAAGTACAATATCTCTTTAAATTATATCTTAACTATAGTAATTTAGATGAGTCTTTGACTACTCTAGTAGGTTTAGGTCGCAGATAAATTTCTCACTATCTGAGCTTTTATTCTTGTATATAATTTTTATTTTTATTTGTATTGGTATGAATAGTAGTAGCTCTGTAAATTTCTATATTTAGCAATTACTTTAGTAACTACATTATAGCAATCTATATTTAACTATTTTAAAATTACTAATAAAGATACGAGCAAGACCTCATCTTAAAACCAAAAAAAAAAAAATCATTATATATAATAACTATTATTATATATAAGAATAGTTATTATATATAAAAATAGTTATTATATATAAGAATAATTAGGGGTGTAGCAATATAGTGAAGTAGTCAAGTTGTCACTCCCAAGTAGCAGGTCAAGAGTTCGAATTTTATTGGTAACGAAAATTTAAAAATTCTGCTTATGTTATAGCTAACTGTATTCAACAATCAGTTGGGATAGGATATCTGTAACTACAGTCATACTAGCAAAACTGGGAAGTCTGGGCATTTGTGTAATATAAGGTTATATGAAGAAATACAAACTGATAATAGGATAGTGCAAATACAAGATAAGCTTCCAGGCTATGTAAATCTGGAGAACTGCAAATATAAAAGCCTACTTGGCAAGTCCTGAATAGAGAAGTAGCATAAATCTTCAACAGAGCTACTATAAAGGTTAGACCCAGGAAAGAAATGAAATCTATGTGAACTGAACTAGATAAAATATGGATATTAGAGATATGCTTATACTAACCAGGCCGCTGCAAATAGAAAAGAAAACCAGAAATCTAACTAAGAAGCCTCTGCAATTGCAGGCAAGTCATAGCGATAGTGGGAGACCTACTAGCTGCCCTTTGGGAGTACCTGCCTAGATGCAGAGAAAAAGTATACAGTTACCGAGCCATTTAGCTTGGAAGTTGAGAACCAGGGTTGGGGCCCCTGCTATTAACGAATAGATAAAATCGACAATACCAACTAGGCTGCTATCGAATCAGAGAAAAATAAGTGATTATATATTGAGCTATCTGGATTGAAAGTCTGGGTAAAGTGAGCTGGGTTACTAAAGTACTGAGAATATACTGTAAAATAAGTTCTGGGGTTTAAGTAAACTTTACAAGAGCAGAAGTAGGTTTGGATAGCGAAATTTAGCCAAACTGAGATTAAATCGTAGAAGGAAGCAGGAGAAAGTTTAAGCTAGAGAAAAACTATAGGCAAGGATCTCAACTCGACATTACATATATTTCCAAAATAGGCAAAACTAAGCTGCAAGTAATAGGCCACAGCCCTGCGTACCAAACTAAAGTGCAGACTAGTTTGGTATAAAGTAGAAATACTGCAGGCTTTGCCAGGTTTATCTTGAAGATAAAAGACCAGAGATTCGCTTTAAAGTCCTAAGTCATCATATAAATATACACCAGGGAAACCAGTTCATAAAACTGGAAAAATGGTTGCTAATTGACGTAGATGTCAAAGTACATAGACGCAGAGGATTTATATGAGTAACTCCCTAGTGGGTTGCAGGTATAGCAATTAGTATAGAATCTAGTAATAAGCAGATTACTTAAATAGATGCTCAAAAAGCGCAGGTATGACTAGATATACCCTCAAATATATATAACACATTCGAAATCAATAAAGTACACTTGACCAAGAGGTCACTTTAATACCAAAAAAAATATATATATATAAGAATAATTATTATATACAGTATAATAATAGTTATTATATATTATAACTATTATTATATATAAGAATAGTTATTATATATCAGAATAATTATTATATATAAGGCCATACAAACTTAATAAATCGGTTCTCATAACCTGGCCGGATCAAATTTTACAAAACTTTAAAAAAAAATTTTAAGTATATTTACTATTCGGGTAAGTTTTTCTAAAAAATTTATAAACAATTTTATGTGTTTTTTATATATAAAATTTTTTGAAAATAAAATTAAAAGCCAGATTGCCAGGTTACTTTTAAAAATTTTATGTTATGAGAACCGATTTATTAAGTTTGTATGGCCTAATAACTATAATTATATATAAAACTAGTTATTATATATAAAAATAAGTATTATATATAATAAAAGTTATAAATATATATTCTATATAAATTTTTTTTAAATATATAATATAACTTAACTTTAACTTATAAAAATATTATAGTCAACCCTTTCTATAATCATACAGTTGGGATGATAGTAACTTTTTTTAAAAATCTATACTATATACTAAAAAAAATTGTATATAATGATAATATTTAGATTATCCTATTTATACTGTGTAATGATAATATTTAGACTATCTATATAAATTATTGATTCAAATGATTCAATTGTATAACTGTAGATCATACTAATTTAGTTAGACAAAAATACAATAGCGACCCTTTTTTTGATTTCGCGCTTTTTTTTTTTGATTTTGCACTTCTTTTTTTTTTCTTTAGTTATTTTTTCATTTTTCCTTATTACTTTCGTTCTTCTGTTCTTTTTTTGTTCTTTCATTCCCTTTTTTTTCTTTTTTTCTGCTTCTTTTTTTTCTTTTTCTTTGTTCTATTTCTTTTTTTTTTGTTTTTTTTCTTCTCTTCGTTCTTTCTTTTTCCCTTCGTTTCTTTTTTTCGTTCTTTCTTTTTCTCTTTGTTTCTTCTCTTTCCTTTCGTTTTTTTCTTTTTCTTTATTCTTTTTTTTCATTCTTTATTTTATAGTGACCTGTCACCATGGTGACCCTGTGATCAATCAATCAAAATCGATCACATATGCAGCGTGATTTATGAATCATGTAACCTTTTCGAATTTTTTTTTTTTATTTAAAAAAATCAACTATATAATTATTATTTAAAAAATCAAGTTTTTTATTTATTTAAAAAAAAAAAATAAAAAATAAAACTATATAGTACATTTTATGATGTAATACAAATATAACAAAGACAAAATTATAGCACTATATATTCGTCGTAGAGACACCACAACCGCCATACAAATACTAAATACTGTAGAGACAACACCAACTGTTGTAGAGACACCACCGCCATAAAGACACTATAACCTCTGTAGAGACACCATAAAACACCATAGAGACACCACATACACGCAAAGCAACACAAAATAACAATCATCTATTCTCACCCACAGCTACTAAACTACACAAGGTACTAACATATATAAACAAAGCACAAAGACACATAAGCACACATAAACAAGCAACAAATTTAAACAAAATACAAAACCT